TAACATATAAGTGTTTCGGAATCAGAATGAATTCTTCAGCAGTCATCATTAAGTTGTGAGGTACTTGTAACAAAAATAAAGTATTTGTCGAACTAAATGGAAGCCTTCTTTACTCAAAATAATCGCACGTTTTCTGACAACACTGGTTTTTGGAGTTATTAAGTATTTGTATGCTGTCTCGAATCGTTCAATGTTTGCGATTTTAACGGGTACGTTTCCATTGACTACATTGAGCAAACATTCACAAATAAGTGTTATGATCTCACGATTTGAAGTTTTTCTAATTAATCTTCTTAGCTGGTCAGGTTTCATTTGTACCATATGCCGCAGAATAGATAAGTTTTTCTTTTTCATTTGTGATTGGAGTAGTTTCTGCTTCAGATAAGGGTAAATAAAAAACTGTTGGCCCAGGTGGTGTGATATTTGAACAATATCTCAAACAATCTAATGTACGGGGGTCCAAGTTGATTAGAAGATGTCCAAAAGAGTCTCTGGTAGCTAATTCGTAACAGTTTCTCAAAGATTTTGATACATTCAATTGTCTTCCTAAAAGATCTAGTTGCTGAACGTCGCGAGGCGATTTGAACAGAATGATGTGTGAAGTGTTCAAATCAATCGTACGCGACCATCGACTTTGTTGAAACAAGTTATGCTTAACATATATTACATCTATCCCTCTAGGTCTACCCGCTGTCGCTAACCTAACAAATTCCTGAATCATCGAAAACTTGAAGAACATTTTCTAATTTTCTCACAGATTCGAATCCGTCGAATTTCATGAACTCCACATTCACTTCGCGAGAAGAGACTTTTTCTGAGAATGCAGGTTGCATCTCTTTGTAAAGATATAGAACGGTTCCAAATTTAGGGTAAAAAGTATTTCCCATCAGAAGTTTCAAAATTAACTCAGTTTTCCCGGATCCTGAAGGTCCCACTATCGCCATAAAAATTCTTGTCGAAGTATCAATCACTTTATTCATATTCTTGAGTTTGGTAGTACGTAACCAACCAAGCCTGATAAAATCGAGAACCAAACTGACATTTCTTCGCAACTTAGTTTAGTGAAAGAAAGTTTGAGAATGCAGAAAGTTAGTAAAATTAGAATTACTACCATTTGCGCAACAAAAACTACTTCAGACCTTGGCAAAGTTACATTGTTACAAAACTTCCATGATTTTTTTTCACTGTTTGTCTCGTTATAAACAAACTCTGTTACTAATGTTGCGTCAGGTTCATCTACTGCTGTTGTTGCTTCTGACATTTGAGAAACTATTTATTCTACAGACTGTGTTAGACTTTTTCTCTCTGTGAATGAAGCTTGTAAAAAATTAAATTACTTTTGAGAACAGTAAAAAATTTCATAACGTGTGAAATCTCTATCATTTGTGTCATGCATTTCTAAAACAAAGTTTGCTGGGATATTTGCAGTTTTTATGTAGTACATTATTTTCTTCACAGTATCCTCTTTCACAATCGTCTTAATCTCATCTGGCAATTCACTGCTGTTTAGATCCATCTGAACTCCTGGCTGACATTTGGGTACTAAGACTAGTTCGGGAAGCTATACTCCTCGCTTGCTGGCTAACATTTCTGATAAACTTGATTCTCTGGAAGTATACAAATTGATCAATAACTGGAAAAAAACTTCTTCAACGTAGACAACTCTTCTTCGGAAATTAATATTTGCTCCTTCCTCTGAACAATTTGGCCACTGCAATCAATACGCTCTATTCTCGTTAATGAAATTTTAATATCACCCTCTCAAGTCATCCACGCACAAAGCATTGAATTTGGTGATAGGTATGTCTCCACTTTCGCTGATCTCTAGCTGTTGATCAATTTTCAACCAATCATAAAAAACCTTGGTTTTCTTCAAGGCACAATGATTCCTGGAGTTGTAATGTGGAATATGTTTATTGCAACTTGGATAATTTTTAAAATATAAGTTTTCAACCCGAGGACAGCCCAAATCATCTAGGTTTTCAATCTTTCGGTCCAAGTACTTGGCCAAAAATTCTGTCTTTTCTTTTCCTTTAGCGTAAAAAACGGCACCGGGATTTCTCAGCACAAAACTCTGAAGTATTTGATTCAAGTTTATATAAAGATAATCACCGTTTTCCCAATGGAGACCGTGTAAATAATTTGTTAACCAGTTGTAAGCTTTTTGTTCAAGCTTTGGTAGTATATTGAAATTCACTGGAGGTAGGAAAATGAGTCGATCGCTGTAGTCTGAAGTTGTTATTGCTAATTCTTTAACCACAAAGGCGTTTTTCTTGTAACGAAAGCCTTCCACGTCAAGCACAACTGATCTCTCGCCTAGCATTCTAGTAAATGATAAACTTCTGGTTTTTTCAACTTAATGAAAAGGCAGAACGCTATTCCACTCAAATGTCCCAATAAGCTGTTGTTACAGTTCCAGGGCAACATGTAACAGTACGTGGGACCCTGTTGATAAAATTCGTGTATAAATCCGGCCGCATCGTGCAAAATAGCGTGCAATCGTAAAATTTTGGAATTTTTCAAGTATTTGTCCAAGGAAGAGTTATCAATACCAATCAAGCCACCATAACTTAATTAAAATGTCGTAGTTAAGGTTATCAGAACTAACAAAAAACAGAGAACATGCAGCTAGAAAATAGTTGCGTCGGTTAGAGTTATCAGGATAAGATTGTTTCAAAGACGTATAAATTTCGTGAATTATTTTCAAATTAATAGGAGTTACTCTGCTTTTTTGCAATTTCATTATTTATTTTTTCCAACACCTCTCCAACCTGCTGAATTTCAAGCCAGTGGAAATAAAAGTGACCTTGCAAATACCATTTAGTCTCATTAAGATAACGGTGGTAAATAATTAAATAAACCACCGGAAGTTTTTTGTATTTTGATAGCTTGTTGAAACATAGACGGATTTTTCTCTCCAAGTCTTTATCAACCCTTTTTGAGGTAAAATCAAACGAATAGTCGAATACGTTTTCATAATCAGCAAAATTCAAATCGCTCACAGTACCATACTGTTGTTTTGTTGAAATGCACCAAGAGATTTGTTGAAGCTCACTCAAATAAAATTGTTCTTTGAAAATTAACTCGTATTCTTTCTTTGAAATTTCCTTTGCCCTTTCGAGGAAGACGACGTAGCGTTCATTACTAAATTTGAAAAATGAGTTTTTTTCTGCGGTTGAAAACACTCTTAATTGTAAATGTTCATTATCAATATCTTCAGTACACCAAGTTCCCTCTAATTTCATTTTTCTTATTTCAAAATTTGTCAAATTTATCATTTGGTATATTTTGCCCAGAAACGACCGCCGCCTTTTGAGAGTAATTTCAATTTACTGCCTTTTCACCATAAAATTTAGGTCAAGTTAAGGAATTAGTTTACTGCTGCCAACAGTTAAGCTACGCTGCCAAATTGGCCGGCGCATTTTTATTATGTACCATAAAAGTCAATTCCCCGTTCACTAACAAATTTCAACTAGGTCGAAAGTTCATTTGCCCGAAACAAATATAACAATTAAAATGATTCATATAATTAACCAGGACCAATAATTAGGACCCCAAAAATTGGAATTAGAAAGAATTTTGTATCGTATCCCTTGTTGTTAAGCTAAACTTAGCAAGATCCTAAGTAGGGGGTCTTCTGCTTTTTGTGTGGAAAATTTCTTTCGTTTACAAAATCCTAGGATAGGGGTCCTCCAAAAAATTAAGGACCCCTTTCCTAGGATTTTGCTTTAAGTGAGGACCCCCCCCCCTTAGGAAGGACCCCCCCCCCCTTAGGATCCGGGACACGATACAATACTACTGGCGTCAATATGTACTAACGGCGCCAGTATATACTAACTTTGAGAGGGCCAATATGTACTAAATTTGAGGGGGGAGCGCGCGCCAAAAAAACGCGATTTTTCTGTCAAAAGTTTCCAGAAAGTGCCTAACGCTTTTTTTCGAATTTTGACTGCGGCGCAGAAATTTGGGTTAGAACAGAGTCTTTTCAGTGCTTTGGGAGTGCTCGGAAAATCAATTTGGTCGACATACAAAAAGGTCGACAAATTTTTCTAGAATATTATTGAAATCCCAAATTCAAGAAAATCCTAGATCCTCCACTGCTCTTTTCGTTTACCTACCACCTGCAAGTTTCCTCTAAGTACTTTTGTGTTCACATTGTCCGATTGCTACTAAAAATGGCTTAAACTAAAAAGTCTAAGACAAAGATAGTTTTCTTTTATGTTTAACCTTGTAAAACGCCCGTTACACCATGAACTTGATGCATTTTCAATAAACTTTGGGTCAATTTTCATTTTACTTCGGGGAGCACAATTTTGGCGAGGGAATTTATGAGCGAATGTAATATTAGTCTCTTCCGTTCGTTTTTTATTAAGAACTTTAAATTAATATAATTCGCTTTTCTTTTGTAAACAGCTTTCCTTTCAAGTGAAAAGCGCAAAACTACTCAACGCATAAGATTCGATTTTTGTGGAGTTTTCTGATGAATTTTGAGTGCTTTAAAATAAGTGAAAAATTAAGATTCAAAATCGATCCATACGTTTTGCGGTTCTTCCTTCCATTATCACAATAGGACTATGTCTTGGCGCCCAATGCACCTAGAGCAATATTTTTCTACTTCGGGTCAACCATTACCAGTTTATTTTAAAAATTGCTCTTCCCACAAAATTTCGTTATAATTTGCTGGTTCAATTAATTCAACAATTGAATCATTTGACAAATATCATTTAAACTGATATGATTTCTTCGCCGGATGAAACAATAATTTTTTTCACTTTAAAAGAAAAATAGCTCTTTATTAAAAGTCCAAATACCTAAATTACCCAATAACCCCATAATTGTTTGAAGAGTTATGTCCGCCGAGTTATCACTTCGGGGCATACCATTGATAATTTTCAAAATATCTGCCAAAAACTGTTATTCAGAGAGCCAAAAATGGTTTGAAAACAATAATTATCTCTTCCTGCGAAACCGGGGAAAAAGATAACAAGCAAAAGAAATACCTTTAGGCCAAATAATGCAAAACGTCGAGCCATCTTCTCTGCAGATATTTTGCACATCAACGACTGTATTCAATTTGTCAGATTGAGAAGTTTTGATGACTAATTTTACGCCGCTCTGCAGATACATTTGCAAACCCAGGCCTAGAATACAAACTTGGTTGCCAAGATTGCCGGAGCAATTGGCGAAGACATAGCCAGTTTTTCTCAAAAATGTGTCCATTTCTGAGCAATTCCTTGTTTTTTGTTTTCCCGTCACATCATCGTCAGTAGACTCATTTCGATGAGATATAATCCTTATTGTACATATTTCGATTAGCATATGTAATATTAAACATCAAGTTCTTTAAAAACTTTGCGTCATTTGAGTTTTAGAGTGGATGAACATACATTTCCAAGCCTTAAGTTTTTGCGCTGTGTAATGAAATTTGGCATCAGAGCTAGCGCTTACATGATTGTTTCAGCAGAATGGAGAATATTTTTTTCCTAATTCAGTATGTTGAAAAGTTTTAATTTGAGTTGCAGATTGATTTTATTGGTCAGTAAAATTGTATAAAAAACAACCATGAAAAGATAGGCTACATGCGTAGTATAAATCAGTTCAAACATAACGAGGCCAAACTGTGAATTCTGCGCATTGTAAAACGGATTCCACAACAGGCCAAAATCAGATTTTTTGCGGAATCCGCAACATTGCTACTTTTCTTTGATCTTCTTTGCTGTTTTAGATTCCACAATCAAATACTTAATTTTTTGTACCGCTCAAAATTGCTCCAAAAATAGGCGAGCTTGAGAAACCTGCAACTGTTTTTACGGAATCCAGAACCGTTTGTAAAACCCACAAACAAATAAAAAGACATGAGTATAGTTACATTAAGCTGTTGTGGAATCCGCAACTGTAGCGTATTCCGCAAATTGTAAGTGGAATCCGCAAGTTGTAAGGAGAATCCGCAAACTGTAAGTGGAATCCGCATTTTATTTGCGAATTCCACTTACACTTGCGGATTCCACTTTCAATTTGCGGAATTCAGTTACAGTCGCGGAACCCAGACCAACGAGCTATAATTGCTTGTTGCGAAATCCGCAACAAGACAACTGTGCCGACAAAATTTACGTAACAGGTATTTGTACGGGGAATCTACGAATCTCTTGTAATTAGAATTCACTTACATTCTGAAACATATTTAAAGAATTGTCTCTAGGGAATAGGGAATCCAGGAACATAAAGGCACAAAAGTGTCCGCCTATCCAGTGCACAGCTTGGCCTCGTAATGAAGCTTTTATTTACTTATTGAATTCATTATCTATTTTTACTAAAACAAATTGCAGAAAGTGAGGAATATGCCTGGGGTAGTTTTTTTTTAAATCACACCGAATTTAGAAAAGTTGATTGCGTATGGGCATCCATCCAGAAATCTAGGGTCCTCCAAGCGAGCATGCTTGCACTCGACTAAAATGCGACTTGGCTGCTGGAATAATACTTTGATATTTTGTTTTGATGCGCGCATTACTTATTCCAAGTCAAATTTTCCGCACTCATAATCGTAACAAACTTAATTGAGGCAAACTGATTGGTCTAATGATTTTCATAAAAAGACTTTCGAATAAAGACTTAGATTTTATCAGCCTAAATTTCATAGGTTGTCAATATGTCATTTACCAAAGTTCATTCGAGACTAATTAGTGGGCTGTCGGAACATTAAGGACTTTGCCGTCTTTTTTTTTTTATAAAATTGCTTATAATTTAGACAAAACTCAAACGTGGGGGCTGAAAAGCAACTTCATGACAAAACTATTCCCTTGTAGTCAAATATTTACAATTGAAATGGCGACAAAATGAAACTCTGGTCATTCTTTTCTAAAAATTTTGAAAGCAATTTTGATTTTGGCTCGTACAAATTAAGTTCACAATGTAGCCTATGTTTCAAGGTTAAATTGATACTTCTTAACAATCGCATGGGAAAAGCATCTGGTAAATGTAGACATTGATAATCGGAAAAAATTGTCGAATGATATTCAGCGAGGGTCAACTTATGGTCGAGATAAATAAAAAACCGAGAGGTAGTTTATGATCGATCTAGCTATGAAATTTCAACGAAATCGATTTAGTTGTAAGATATTTAGTTTAGGTATAACCATAGTAATTACTTTAGTCGTACACATTGTAGTATAGCGAATGCAAAAACGGAAGATTACTAAGCAAATATGAAGTGTTCAATAAACAAAATTCATGGCCAAAGGTTCTAAGAAGTTTGCGGAAAATGATAACTAAGCTTTAACCCGTAAAGTTTAGGATTCGGGAGCTCCGGTAAGGTTCGGGAGACCTGTGACGGCAAGACTCGGAAGCACAGGATTTCAGTTAACATCGGTAAAATAAAGTGGATCATACAGTTGTTGTTTGACCATCGGGTGGAATTTCGCTGTTTTGATGAGATAGACGCTGAAGTTTTGCAGATTGCTCGAGGTGTCTGAGAGATTGCTCGTTGAAGTGTGGTAGAGTAGAAAAAGCTGGGGTAGTGCGATTCAAGAAAAACAAGGTTTGGTTTTACTTTTCGATGGTTGTGGCTTCTAGGTCTGGGTCATTTTCACATTTCATTTTTTTCAAGCTTTCGAAACCTACAATTCCTCCAGGTTTTTAATAAATTTTAATTTTAGTTTTTTTTTGCATAAATCCTTATGATATGGCCTTTTTTGCGCACTCGATTTTTTTTTGGTTTTGTTGACTTTCTCACGGCTAAGTCAGGTTTTTGAATTGATTTACCGCTTTTAAGTGTAACTTTATGGTCCGTCTCCCCTATGATATCCTCCTTAAGCAACCTATAATCGAAACCACGCTTTTTTCTGCTTTGCTATAAAAAACCGGTCGTACCCGACGGGGCATTAGAAAATGGGTTGCCCACCCCTAGTGCTTCTCTCGGTTTTGATCTGGGTAGGGTTTTAATTAGAGATCAGGAGCTGGAAGCGATGAAATCCCGGGTATTTGTCATGTCTTCCGAGGATGACGAGTTGTAGTCAAGAAGTCCATTTTCAAGATAATCAAGAGCGTCCCAATCGTGTCTCCATTCGCGGCCCATGAGCTTTCGTTTTTCGTCTAAACCTTACAAGATTTTGTTCCGATCTAGGTTGTCTGATTTAGGAAGGTGCTGGTATAAAAAATGCCATACATTTTTTTTGATGTTATTCGGAAGTGGGCTTCAAAAGGCGAGCAATATAGCTATTGTTATGTTACTGTTCTTAGGCGTTTAGTATTTTTACTAGCGCTAGTTCCAATAACAGTTTCGGGTTTTTGTGATCTAACCGATAGCTGTTTTTTGTTATTTTCAATTAAACAGTTGACCAGGCCCTTAGCTTTATGGTTGCCCACTGGGCAACCATTTGTTTATTCTGACAATTTTGTTCTAGACAAGTTGAAAATAATCCCAAATCTTGGTCGTTTTTGCTTTTTCTGCGATTTCCGCTTCAGGCTAAACAGATTCAGAAAAAAATATTCTCTAATTCAACAAAGTTGTACATATTACTTGTCCAGTGGGAAACTAGGAAAATCTGTCAAGGCACACTTATACATATTTTTTGTCCCCATAATGATTGTAAAGGTCCAGCGAAGTCTAGTTCTTTTTCTTGGATGATAGATTGCCCAAAAACTCTTTGAGCAATTAGATGTTTTAAGTTGTTACCTGCTTTCCAATATACAATGCAAGTTTTGCCACACACTTGAAATTCCCAGTTGAACTCCGGCCACCAGATACACTATATCGCTAAATTTTGCATAGCGAAATGACCACGTTCCTTTTTATCTAGTAGTTGCAGCATGATTATTCTTAAGCAGGCGGTCATCACAAGTCTCCAATCAAAATAAAACCATCCTTTAGTAACGTGTCAGTTTTTAAATTAAGGTTTATAATAGTTTTCAAGCTGTAATAAATCCCGTATTTTCCTTCTTGGACGACTTTAGCCAATTTCTTCAGCAGTAAGTCTTGTTCTAGGAGTAAAGAGTTAAGTTCTGCCTCAAAAATTACCGCTCATGGAAAAGAAAAAATAATAATTTTCTGGCGTTTCCGGCTTTGAGAAGACTCTAAGTTTTTCTTTGAACAACCCATCGTTGTTTCCGAAGCTTTGTCTTCAATTTTGGTTGCCAGGGGGAAATTTTTTACAATGGGATAACATATTTGTTTTGTTCGATTTGATTCGACAACTCTTTGAATTCTTAGACATCAATGAAAAATTAATAGTTTTGCAGAAGGGAAAGCGCTCTTTCATACGCTAATGAGAGTTTTGACGCACAGAGTTTTTTGAGCGAGCGTACAAAGATTATAAAACTTCTGCAGTGTTCAAAATTCAATTATCACGTATGTTTCCTGTGGTTTGTTTGGAGTGGTTGTGAACAATCAACTTGCAGTACTTGAAATGTTCAATTATTATTATTGAGAAAAAATGTCTCGTATTTTTAGCCTGAACATCTTGGCATGAATTTCTGAAAACCAAGTAGCGAACTAAAGTGGTTTATTGAAGCAATTATAAAGTTTTTTTCCTCCTAAGAAATTGGTAGTGGTCACTAGCAGAGTTTTGATAAAAATTTGACGAATCGTAATTTTTTCAATTGTAAAATCATATCTAAAAACTTAAGCGGGATCCGGTTGTTTAATTTTGTTTAACGTCTCTTAAAGCCCCTTTTTGAAGCTTTGCGATCATTGCTCCTAAAACTGTCACCGAGCAGGTGATTTTTTTAGTTATTTTTATTTGAATGCTACCAGATGTGATTTTTTGCCGGTTAATTTTTTGTTTTTCCGCATTAGCTCGCAAAAAGGTGTCGATAAGAACAACCAACTTGATATCTTTTGAACTACCGACGTTAGCGATTAAAATGCAGAGTATATAATGGTGTGTATTGGGTAGTATGCCAGTGCGTTTATCCATAAATCGCCGGCATTTGTGGGCCACGTCTCCCAAACCAAAAAACACCGTTTTAAATCTGTACCAGTCATTATCATCGACTCCTACTATGTCAAAATTCCATTGGTTGCTCGTTTTTTATATTGTTATCTGACTATGTGTTATTTTAGATCATTTGATGAAAACCAGATTTTAATTTTTTTCTCCAGGCTACTTATTTTAGTGGACTATTAATGGCTAATTTTATCGATCGTCTCCTTTCAAAGTAAAAACAGTTGGTGAGATGAAGCAAGCTTCAGAACTTGTAGAGAGCTTCTTGATATGTTCTACTTTTCTAAACTGGCCGTTCCACTGTTTTAGTTTGGGTCATATGTCTATGGAAATTCGTTTTCCTCTTACTTGTATAAGTTTCATGCTTTGTTAAAACCATATTTACACAAAAATCTGTTAACTTAAAAGTTCTAATAATTAGATTCGTTAATGTATCAGATTTATTCATTTTAAACGTTGATGCGGTGTTTCAAGTGCAGTAACAGTACATATCTTTGACTCAAACTAATTTGTTTCATTCTGGCAATTTCATTCGTGACTATCCGAGATATAGATTGCGTGGTTGGTGACTATTAATGAGAGAATTTAATTTCAAGATACGGTCATGATAAATGTCAATTCGAAGCAAACTTTTCATTGATTTCCTTTAACTACCTTCCCAATGATATTGATAGTGCTTCTAAATTCTTCTGAAGGACTTGTTGATAAATTCGACAATTGCTTCAACTTTCAAATAAATGCCCCTTATCTTCAGTTTATGAATTAGATTTTTGTTCATGAATGATAAAAAAACAAGCTGAGTCAATTTGAATGTATATTTTGAATGGATTAAAAAGTTGAATCTTTAAGCTCAGTGTTTCTTTGAATTTATTATTATCGTGCTAAAAGACTTTCATGACTTGTTTTTGGATTCACTGATTAGACTTACTGATTAGATACACTTTAAGATTGCAATTAAAAAATGAAACAAGAAAGTCGTCCGAGTTTAACTCAAATTCGGAGTTTTCCTGGGGAGTGTCCCGTTGAATTTGCTAATCTGGCATAACCGACTTTTGTTCTATCAATTTCATCTGGTCTCGGGTTGAGAGTCTGCAGTGTCTAACAAAAGGACCCTTAAGGCCACAGTTCATGCAATTTCTGTTCCTAATTGGACACGAGGTGAGAAGTCGATTTTTAAATTATTAAGTGTGGGTTCCTTTTTTATCTGGTATGGTTTCTAGCACACATTTTCTTTACCGGATTCTTAACGTATTGTGGATGGACTTTTCTGCTTGTTTCATACGACGTATGTATAAAATTTTTCTGATGTTAAATATTTGTCCAATTTCTCTTGGAATTTTCTCTCTCGTTTCTCATAATACTTATGAAAATGTCTCCACTTAGTTTCATTTGTAGATCTCCTGATGTACAATTTTTTAGCTAGTTCGGATATAATTTCTTCATTTTAAGCAAGGGTAGCGTGTTTGTTTCTTTCTTCACTTGCGGTCCGTTGGCTTGGTCATAGGTCGATTCCGCGGTTTCGGATATTGAGTATGTCAGCTCGTTTTGACCGGTTGGTGGGCTTATGACATCTTCAATGTCAACTGATTTTTTTGCAATAATTGTTAATTGGATTATTTCCGACCACTAGTTCACCCTTTTGGTGATTTTTGTTCGTCGAGTTTTTTTCTAATTTTAGTCCACATAGATTTGACTCATTTGACAGAAAGATTTGAAAGTTTAAAGAAAAGATACGGTAGTCTTAAGAAAGCTGGCCATTATTTTTTAGATCCGAAAGCCATGGCTGTTTTGGCTGTTACAAACTAAATTCAGAACGTAGCACATGTTTCAGGGTTAAAATGATTTAAAAACCGTTTTTACTTATGGAAAACCTAATTTTGTTAAATCTTGAAAAGTCTTAAAAAGTAAGCTGAAAAAAATGCGAATATGATTTTTGACAATTCATGATTGCGGATTCCAGCAACCTAATCTGACAACTTTGGCTCTCAGATACATTTGACTTTTTTAATTCTGCATAAATACTACAAAGAGTCTAACTCGCTTAAGAGGCCCTGCATCATTTTGAGTTCGAGATTTCGTTAGGTCATTTCTATCCTTGTGGAGTTTACAAAAAGAACAAAAAGTGACGTACGCATACTATCAACTCACTATAGTTTCTCTTGGAACTAGAAGTTTCACTTGTTTTGAGCTTACATTTCTTAAACACGTGTATTAAATGCAATTTTGTAACATATGCTAATCGACATACGTGTTATTGAGTACTCCCAAGTGTCCGCGAAACTCCGAATGGGTTAAAGACTTTAAAATCGGCTCACAATTTCTAGCGCCTTGCAGAAAATTCCGTGATAAATTTGACATCTGCAATGGTGTATCTCGACTGCTGGTGAAATAAGTAAACTGTAACGCTGCTGCGGAAATGATGATCAGGGAAACAATCAATCGGAACTTTCGATCTGAAACATTAAAACGTCATAATTTCATCTGGAAACAACTCAAAATATTGACCTTGCTGTCATTCATGGAGAATTAATTATAGAACAAGTTTCCAACATTTTAACATACTTCCAAGAAATGCAAATTTCCATGCACTGCACTTTGAAATCTGCGTTCTTTGTGTAAAAAGTATCGAGAAAGCAACAATCAGAAAATAGTAGATATCACTTGAAGAGTCACTAATGGCACAAATTATAATTAAAAATATGTTTAAAAACTGCTCCAGACGTATGCAAATTTCAGAAAAACTAGAAAACTTTGCTTTGAAAACTCGGTTGCCTCGGCAAAATTTTAAATTCTTGTCAATATCTTAGCAAACTGCATTTTATGAAAAGATCTAGTGGGTTGCGCATCTTCACTCAGTCACTTGTTTCCAACGTTGTCCTAAGACACTATTTTACGGCACCCATCGTGCCCATGCATGGGGGGATAATTTGGGGGACAATGTTCATAACCCGCACCGAAGTTTCTCGGATAAAAATAGATTATATTGAGAAAATGTTGCCGAAAATATTGCCATTATAATCGATTATGTGTAACCAATTTAAGCAACATTTTCTATTATAATAGAAAGAAAATAGATTATTTTCATCAAGAATATATTGCCTTGTAATTCCACTAAAATGTATTTTTATCTCCATAAAGTTTCTTCAGCAGTAAGTCTTGTTCTAGGAGTAAAGAGTTAAGTTCTGCCTCAAAAATTACCGCTCATGGAAAAGAAAAAATAATAATTTTCTGGCGTTTCCGGCTTTGAGAAGACTCTAAGTTTTTCTTTGAACAACCCATCGTTGTTTCCGAAGCTTTGTCTTCAATTTTGGTTGCCAGGGGGAAATTTTTTACAATGGGATAACATATTTGTTTTGTTCGATTTGATTCGACAACTCTTTGAATTCTTAGACATCAATGAAAAATTAATAGTTTTGCAGAAGGGAAAGCGCTCTTTCATACGCTAATGAGAGTTTTGACGCACAGAGTTTTTTGAGCGAGCGTACAAAGATTATAAAACTTCTGCAGTGTTCAAAATTCAATTATCACGTATGTTTCCTGTGGTTTGTTTGGAGTGGTTGTGAACAATCAACTTGCAGTACTTGAAATGTTCAATTATTATTATTGAGAAAAAATGTCTCGTATTTTTAGCCTGAACATCTTGGCATGAATTTCTGAAAACCAAGTAGCGAACTAAAGTGGTTTATTGAAGCAATTATAAAGTTTTTTTCCTCCTAAGAAATTGGTAGTGGTCACTAGCAGAGTTTTGATAAAAATTTGACGAATCGTAATTTTTTCAATTGTAAAATCATATCTAAAAACTTAAGCGGGATCCGGTTGTTTAATTTTGTTTAACGTCTCTTAAAGCCCCTTTTTGAAGCTTTGCGATCATTGCTCCTAAAACTGTCACCGAGCAGGTGATTTTTTTAGTTATTTTTATTTGAATGCTACCAGATGTGATTTTTTGCCGGTTAATTTTTTGTTTTTCCGCATTAGCTCGCAAAAAGGTGTCGATAAGAACAACCAACTTGATATCTTTTGAACTACCGACGTTAGCGATTAAAATGCAGAGTATATAATGGTGTGTATTGGGTAGTATGCCAGTGCGTTTATCCATAAATCGCCGGCATTTGTGGGCCACGTCTCCCAAACCAAAAAACACCGTTTTAAATCTGTACCAGTCATTATCATCGACTCCTACTATGTCAAAATTCCATTGGTTGCTCGTTTTTTATATTGTTATCTGACTATGTGTTATTTTAGATCATTTGATGAAAACCAGATTTTAATTTTTTTCTCCAGGCTACTTATTTTAGTGGACTATTAATGGCTAATTTTATCGATCGTCTCCTTTCAAAGTAAAAACAGTTGGTGAGATGAAGCAAGCTTCAGAACTTGTAGAGAGCTTCTTGATATGTTCTACTTTTCTAAACTGGCCGTTCCACTGTTTTAGTTTGGGTCATATGTCTATGGAAATTCGTTTTCCTCTTACTTGTATAAGTTTCATGCTTTGTTAAAACCATATTTACACAAAAATCTGTTAACTTAAAAGTTCTAATAATTAGATTCGTTAATGTATCAGATTTATTCATTTTAAACGTTGATGCGGTGTTTCAAGTGCAGTAACAGTACATATCTTTGACTCAAACTAATTTGTTTCATTCTGGCAATTTCATTCGTGACTATCCGAGATATAGATTGCGTGGTTGGTGACTATTAATGAGAGAATTTAATTTCAAGATACGGTCATGATAAATGTCAATTCGAAGCAAACTTTTCATTGATTTCCTTTAACTACCTTCCCAATGATATTGATAGTGCTTCTAAATTCTTCTGAAGGACTTGTTGATAAATTCGACAATTGCTTCAACTTTCAAATAAATGCCCCTTATCTTCAGTTTATGAATTAGATTTTTGTTCATGAATGATAAAAAAACAAGCTGAGTCAATTTGAATGTATATTTTGAATGGATTAAAAAGTTGAATCTTTAAGCTCAGTGTTTCTTTGAATTTATTATTATCGTGCTAAAAGACTTTCATGACTTGTTTTTGGATTCACTGATTAGACTTACTGATTAGATACACTTTAAGATTGCAATTAAAAAATGAAACAAGAAAGTCGTCCGAGTTTAACTCAAATTCGGAGTTTTCCTGGGGAGTGTCCCGTTGAATTTGCTAATCTGGCATAACCGACTTTTGTTCTATCAATTTCATCTGGTCTCGGGTTGAGAGTCTGCAGTGTCTAACAAAAGGACCCTTAAGGCCACAGTTCATGCAATTTCTGTTCCTAATTGGACACGAGGTGAGAAGTCGATTTTTAAATTATTAAGTGTGGGTTCCTTTTTTATCTGGTATGGTTTCTAGCACACATTTTCTTTACCGGATTCTTAACGTATTGTGGATGGACTTTTCTGCTTGTTTCATACGACGTATGTATAAAATTTTTCTGATGTTAAATATTTGTCCAATTTCTCTTGGAATTTTCTCTCTCGTTTCTCATAATACTTATGAAAATGTCTCCACTTAGTTTCATTTGTAGATCTCCTGATGTACAATTTTTTAGCTAGTTCGGATATAATTTCTTCATTTTAAGCAAGGGTAGCGTGTTTGTTTCTTTCTTCACTTGCGGTCCGTTGGCTTGGTCATAGGTCGATTCCGCGGTTTCGGATATTGAGTATGTCAGCTCGTTTTGACCGGTTGGTGGGCTTATGACATCTTCAATGTCAACTGATTTTTTTGCAATAATTGTTAATTGGATTATTTCCGACCACTAGTTCACCCTTTTGGTGATTTTTGTTCGTCGAGTTTTTTTCTAATTTTAGTCCACATAGATTTGACTCATTTGACAGAAAGATTTGAAAGTTTAAAGAAAAGATACGGTAGTCTTAAGAAAGCTGGCCATTATTTTTTAGATCCGAAAGCCATGGCTGTTTTGGCTGTTACAAACTAAATTCAGAACGTAGCACATGTTTCAGGGTTAAAATGATTTAAAAACCGTTTTTACTTATGGAAAACCTAATTTTGTTAAATCTTGAAAAGTCTTAAAAAGTAAGCTGAAAAAAATGCGAATATGATTTTTGACAATTCATGATTGCGGATTCCAGCAACCTAATCTGACAACTTTGGCTCTCAGATACATTTGACTTTTTTAATTCTGCATAAATACTACAAAGAGTCTAACTCGCTTAAGAGGCCCTGCATCATTTTGAGTTCGAGATTTCGTTAGGTCATTTCTATCCTTGTGGAGTTTACAAAAAGAACAAAAAGTGACGTACGCATACTATCAACTCACTATAGTTTCTCTTGGAACTAGAAGTTTCACTTGTTTTGAGCTTACATTTCTTAAACACGTGTATTAAATGCAATTTTGTAACATATGCTAATCGACATACGTGTTATTGAGTACTCCCAAGTGTCCGCGAAACTCCGAATGGGTTAAAGACTTTAAAATCGGCTCACAATTTCTAGCGCCTTGCAGAAAATTCCGTGATAAATTTGACATCTGCAATGGTGTATCTCGACTGCTGGTGAAATAAGTAAACTGTAACGCTGCTGCGGAAATGATGATCAGGGAAACAATCAATCGGAACTTTCGATCTGAAACATTAAAACGTCATAATTTCATCTGGAAACAACTCAAAATATTGACCTTGCTGTCATTCATGGAGAATTAATTATAGAACAAGTTTCCAACATTTTAACATACTTCCAAGAAATGCAAATTTCCATGCACTGCACTTTGAAATCTGCGTTCTTTGTGTAAAAAGTATCGAGAAAGCAACAATCAGAAAATAGTAGATATCACTTGAAGAGTCACTAATGGCACAAATTATAATTAAAAATATGTTTAAAAACTGCTCCAGACGTATGCAAATTTCAGAAAAACTAGAAAACTTTGCTTTGAAAACTCGGTTGCCTCGGCAAAATTTTAAATTCTTGTCAATATCTTAGCAAACTGCATTTTATGAAAAGATCTAGTGGGTTGCGCATCTTCACTCAGTCACTTGTTTCCAACGTTGTCCTAAGACACTATTTTACGGCACCCATCGTGCCCATGCATGGGGGGATAATTTGGGGGACAATGTTCATAACCCGCACCGAAGTTTCTCGGATAAAAATAGATTATATTGAGAAAATGTTGCCGAAAATATTGCCATTATAATCGATTATGTGTAACCAATTTAAGCAACATTTTCTATTATAATAGAAAGAAAATAGATTATTTTCATCAAGAATATATTGCCTTGTAATTCCACTAAAATGTATTTTTATCTCCATATAATCTCAATAAAATCTATTTTTTTGCCCTGAAACCGCCATGAAATCGCAATAAAATCGATTGTTTTTGCCATAAAATTGCAATAAAATCTATTGTTTTTGCCATAAAATTGCAATAAAATCTATTGTTTCCGCCATAAAACTGCCATAAAATCGCAACAAAAACTATTGCTATCGCCATAAAATTGCAAT